CGATACAAAAATACAATGATCACGATACAAAAATACAATGATCACGACACAATGATACAATTATAAAACAACGATCATGATACAATGATTATGATACAATGATCACGATACAATGATCACGATACAATGATCACGATTCAATGATCATGATACAATGATCACGATAATCACGATTCAATGATACAATGATCATGATACAATGATCGCGATACAATGATCATGATACAATGATCACGATACAATGATCATAATACAATGATCACAATACAATGATCATGATACATGATCACGATATGATGATCATGATTCAATGATGCAATGATCATAATACATGATCACGATACAATGATTCAATAATCACCATACAATGATTCAATGATCACCATACAATGATTGAATGAACACGATACAATAATCATGATACAATGATCACGATACAATGATCATGATACAATGATCATGATGCAATGATACGATACAATGATCATGATACAATGATCATGATGCAATGATACGATACAATGCTCACGATACAATTATCATAATCCTCATCCACCGGGTGGATGGATGATACAATGATCATGATACGATGATCATGATACAACAATAATCAGGATACAATGATCATGATACAATAATCACGATACAATGATACAATGATTATTGTCATTGTTGATCTATGGTGCATTATTATTGTCTGAGTATTCGTTAGGGAGGGAACTCCTGTCTTCCGCTGCACACCGCGGTTGGTTGTCAACTAAGTTCAGTCAAGTATGTTCAGTCAAGGGGAGCCGGTCGGCCGAGCGGACAGCACGCTGGACTTGTGATCCTGTGGTCCCGGGTTCGATCCCAGGCGCCGGCGAGAAACAATGGGCAGAGTTTCTTTCAACCTATGCCCCTGTTACCTAGCAGTAAATAGGTACCTGGGTGTTAGTCAGCTGTCACGGGCTGCTTCCTGGGGGTGGAGGCCTGGTCGAGGACCGGGCCGCGGGGACACTAAAGCCCAGAAATCATCTCAAGATAGAAGTTTTCTTCAAGAACGGACAGGATTGATTAAGTAGACGTCAAGAGCCTTGACGTCTTGACGTACTTGACATCAAGATGTCAAGTACGACATTAGCTTTCCTGACATCATTCTAGAGTAAACCAAGCACCCGTTGTTCTAGTGGTTAAGTTGTATATAGCTCTTTGGGCCCGCCTCTCAACTGTCAATCAACTGTTTTTTCACACACGCCCACAGGAAGTAGTTCGTAGTCTAACTCCCCAGGTATCTGTTTACTGCTAGGTGAACAGAGGCATCAGAAGGTGAAAGAAACTGCCCATTTGTTTCCGCCTCCGCCGGGGGTCGAATCCGGACCCTTAGGACTACGAATCCCGAACGCTGTCCACTCAGTCGTCAGGCCCCCACTCAGCCGTCAGTGTGAGGAGGACCCAAGGAGTCCCTTAAAGTGCCTCACTTGCATTGAGGAGATTCCCCACGACCAAGGTGGATGAGGAGCCGGTGGAGCAAGGCTGAGAGGAAACCCCACCAGGACCCTGACAACCAGGGGCCAGATTCACCAAGTAGTTACGCAACTACTTACGAACGTGTACATCTTTCCTCAATCTTTGACGGCTTTGGTTACATTTATTAAACAGTTTACAAGCATGAAAACTTGCCAATCAACTGTTGTTATTGTTATGAACAGCCTCCTGGTGCTTCGGAGCTCATTAACTGTTTAATTATTGTAAACAAAGCCGTCAAAGATTGAGAAAAGATGGACAGGTTCGTAGGTGCTGGCGTAACTGCTTCGTGAATCTGGCCCATGGGCCTCTACATTTGGTCTCGTAGCGACAACTTTTCCACTTACAAATTACGTCTGAATTTGGCCGTTTACCCGTATGGCCGAAAATGGACGTGATTTGAAAAAGAAAAGTGTGTGTGTGTGTGCGTGTGTGTGTGTGTACTCACCTAGTACTCACCTAGTTGTGTCTGCAGGATCGAGCATTGACTCTTGGATCCCGCCTTTCGAGCATCGGTTGTTTACAGCAATGACTCCTGTCCCATTTCCCTATCATACCTGGTTTTAAAATTATGAATAGTATTTGCTTCCACAACCTGTTCCTGAAGTGCATTCCATTTTCCCACTACTCTCACGCTAAAAGAAAACTTCCTAACATTTCTGTGACTCATCTGAGTTTCAAGCTTCCATCCATGTCCCCTCGTTCTGTTACTATTCCGTGTGAACATTTCGTCTATGTCCACTCTGTCAATCCCTCTGAGTATCTTATACGTTCCTATCATGTCCCCCCTCTCCCTTCTTCTTTCTAGTGTCGTAAGGCACAGTTCCCTCAGGCGCTCCTCATACCCCATCCCTCGTAGCTCTGGGACGAGTCTCGTTGCAAACCTCTGAACCTTTTCCAGTTTCATTATATGCTTCTTCAGATGGGGACTCCATGATGAGGCGGCATACTCTAAGACTGGCCTCACGTAGGCAGTGTAAAGCGCCCTAAATGCCTCCTTACTTAGGTTTCTGAATGATGTTCTAACTTTTGCCAGTGTAGAGTACGCTGCTGTCGTTATCCTATTTATATGTGCCTCAGGAGATAGATTAGGTTACGTCCACCCCCAGGTCTCTTTCACGCGTCGTCACAGGTAGGCTGTTCCCCTTCATTGTGTACTGTCCCTTTGGTCTCCTATCTCCTAGTCCCATTTCCATAACTTTACATTTGCTCGTGTTGAATTCCAGTAGCCATTTCTCTGACCATCTCTGCAACCTGTCCAGGTCCTCTTGGAGGATCCTACAATCCTCATCTGTCACAACTCGTGTGTGTGTGTGTGTGTGTGTGTGTGTACTCACCTAATTGTACTCACCTAATTGTGCTTGCGGGGGTTGAGCTCTGGCTCTTTGGTCCCGCCTCTCAACCGTCAATCAACTGGTGTACAGATTCCTGAGCCTATTGGGCTCTATCATATCTACATTTGAAACTGTGAATGGAGTCAGCCTCCACCACATCACTTCCTAATGCATTCCATTTGCTAACTACTCTGACACTGAAAAAGTTCTTTCTAACGTCTCTGTGGCTCATTTGGGTACTCAGCTTCCACCTGTGTCCCCTTGTTCGCGTCCCACCAGTGTTGAAAAGTTCGTCCTTGTTTACCCGGTCGATTCCCCTGAGGATTTTGTAGGTTGTGATCATGTCCCCCCTTACTCTTCTGTCTTCCAGTGTCGTGAGGTGCATTTCCCGCAGCCTTTCCTCATAACTCATGCCTCTTAGTTCTGGGACTAGTCTAGTAGCATACCTTTGGACTTTTTCCAGCTTCGTCTTGTGCTTGACAAGGTACGGGCTCCATGCTGGGGCCGCATACTCCAGGATTGGTCTTACATATGTGGTGTACAAGATTCTGAATGATTCCTTACACAGGTTCCTGAACGCCGTTCTGATGTTAGCCAGCCTCGCATATGCCGCAGACGTTATTCTCTTTATGTGGGCTTCAGGAGACAGGTTTGGTGTGATATCAACTCCTAGATCTTTCTCTCTGTCTGTTTCATTAAGTACTTCATCTCCTATTCTGTATCCTGTGCCTGGCCTCCTGTTTCCACTGCCTAGTTTCATTACTTTGCATTTACTCGGGTTGAACTTCAACAGCCATTTGTTGGACCATTCACTCAGTCTATCCAGGTCATCTTGTAGCCTCCTACTATCATCCTCTGTTTCAATCCTCCTCATAATTTTTGCATCGTCGGCAAACATTGAGAGGAACGAATCTATACCCTCTGGGAGATCATTTACATATACCAGAAACAGTATAGGTCCAAGGACTGACCCCTGCGGGACTCCACTTGTGACGTCTCGCCAATCTGAGACCTCACCCCTCACACAGACTCGTTGTCTCCTGTTGCTTAGGTACTCCTCTATCCACCGGAGTACCTTCCCTCTCACTCCAGCCTGCATCTCCAACTTTCGCACTAGCCTCTTGTGTGGCACTGTATCAAAGGCTTTCTGACAATCCAAAAATATGCAGTCTGCCCACCCTTCTCTTTCTTGCCTTATTTTTGTTGCCTGGTCGTAGAATTCAAGTAACCCTGTGAGGCAGGACCTGCCATCCCTGAACCCATGTTGAAGCTGTGTTACAAAGTTCCTTCGCTCCAGATGCTCCACTAGTTTTTTTCGCACAATCTTCTCCATCAGCTTGCATGGTATGCAGGTTAGGGACACTGGCCTGTAGTTCAGTGCCTCCTGTCTATCCCCTTTCTTGTATATCGGGACTACGTTAGCTGCTTTCCAAATATCTGGCAGTTCCCCTGTTGTCAGTGATTTGTTATACACTATGGAGAGTGGTAGGCTCAGTTCTCTTGCTCCTTCCTTTAGAACCCAAGGGGAGATTCCATCTGGGCCTATAGCCTTCGTCACGTCCAACTCTAGTAAACACTTCCTTACTTCCCCACTGGTAATCTCAAACTCTTCCAGTGGTTCCTGGTTAGCTATTCCCTCACTTACCTCTGGAATTTCTCCTTGCTCTAAGGTGAAGACCTCCTGGAATTTCTTATTCAATTCCTCACACATTCCTCGTGTGAGTGTGTGTGTGTGTGTGTGTGTGTGTGTGTGTGTGTGTGTGTGTGTGTGTGTGTGTGTGTGTGTGTGTGTGTGTGTGTGTGTGCAAAGGCATTATTATTATTAATTGTTTCTCATTGAACAGAGTGAGTTTGCGAGTGAATGAAATACGAATGTAAGAAAAAAAGACAAACTTGAAAGGAGAAAAAATTGTCTTTACATAAAATACATAAATAGGAAGCAAATATTCCTGCACGTTTGTTCAGAAAATGTTATTGTCAATTAATATTTTTAACATAAAGGAAACCAAGACATTTTTGTGTTGTTTTAACTGACATTTCAGCCATCCACGACCGGTCAAAATTCCTTATCCTCAAAAAAACAAAATTAAGGCACTCAAAAATAATTTAATATATATATTCTAAACATTCCAGTAATTTTCTTTTGTTTAAGCAGTAACTTACTTGTGATGATTCAGATAAAAGTGAGAGCGAGACTTGAAGGGTAAGCTACCTCCCATAGAGGCCAGGCACAGACTGAGGATAGCATGGCCACATCTGGCTATCGTGACACCTGTACCACACCTCCACCACTCGGCCATAACTTCAACTACCCCCGTTATACAGACAGACCAACAGCTACAACGATAACACATCCTCCCGTTATGGATGTTCTCGGCACTACGAACACAATAAAGATTCAACAAAATAAGACAAACACAGACACTGTACTAATCTTTGATAGATATTCCCATTTAGGTAAATATGGACACTACTACCCAGTCGGGTGTGTTGATACTGATTGCACTTCGCTGAATAGTGACAAATTAGTGAATTGGGGGTCACACACACAGCTACTTTCTGCAAGTTTACGTTCCGGTGTTGCTCGGGTTAGTCTGTCTCCGCATCTGTCCATCCAAGTGTGCATCTATTTAGCTTTCTAACTATTCAAATGTGCATTCATGTAGCTTTCTAACCATCTATCTATCTATACATCTAGCTTTCTAACCGTCTGTCGATCAACCCATCCACCTATCTGTCTATCCGGCTATCTACTCATCGCGCAAAAACTCTTCTTCTTCTCCTCGAAGAAGAAGAGTATATGTAGCATTCGGGCGAGCCTTGTGTGGCACCCGCGTACACTTACATATTCTCTGCTACCATCCCCATAAACCACCAACAAAACTAAGGCACTTCGGGCTCACCATAGCCCGTGCTACTTGGAACTTTGTTCCAGGTAGCAAATCTTTATCAACATCATCATCAACCAACAAAACGTTGGAGAGTTTGGAATTGTCTTGGTTGAACATTTGGCATATTTTTTTGCAGGCGTTTCATATTTTTTCGTTTTGGGGTATTTTAGATTTGGGAGGGGGGGGGGAATTTTTTTTACAGCGTTTGGGACCATTTTTGTTGGGTGTTTGGGACCTTTTTTGTTAGGTGTTTGGGACCTTTTTTGTTAGGTGTTTGGGACCTTTTTTGTTAGGTGTTTGGGACCTTTTTTGTTGGGTGTTTGGGACCTTTTTTGTTAGGTGTTTGGGACCTTTTTTCGTGTGTTTGGGACCTTTTTTTGGGTGTTTGGGACCTTTTTTGTTGGGTGTTTGGGACCTTTTTTGTTGGGTGTTTGGGACCTTTTTTGTTGGGTGTTTGGGACCATTTTTGTTGGGTGTTTGGGAACATTTTTGTTGGGTGTTTGGGACCTTTTTTGTTGGGTGTTTGGGACCTTTTTTGCTAGGCGTTTGCCACTTTTTTTTGCCACTCATGAGCGTTAATTTTTAGCGCAATTCTGGGTGATTGTACATATTTAGAATTTTAATTTACCACTTTTTATAATTCCTAAGTCGTAATTTAAAGTTCCAAAAATGTACAATCACCCTGAATTCGGATAAAAAATAACGCTCAAGAGTCATAGTTCTGATAGGCATCGTATGTTGAACACAGCTGATCAATATAGTTCTGATAGGCATCGTATGTTGAACACAGCTGATCAATTTGGGCAAAATCTGACCAATCGCCGTTTTCACTAATTTGCATATTTTCGGTATAAAAAGTCAAAACTCTTTCTTCCTCTCATTCCCGCCTGCCAGCCAGCTAGCCAGCCAACCAGTCAGCCAGCCGGCCAACCAGCCAGCCAACCAGTCAGCCAGCCGGCCAACCAGCCAGTCAGCCAGCCGGCCAACCAGCCAGTCAGCCAGCCGGCCAGCCAACCAGTCAGCCAGCCGGCCTTAGAACGTGAATAATTAACAGACACGATTATTCCATATGGCATCAATGGAAATATGAAAATAGTTAACGTACCTTGAAAATTGGTGAATTTCTATCCCGCGATGAGCTAATGGCCAATTACCTGTAATGACATGTTAAATAATTATTTATATTATTCTGTATTAGTTTTTTATTATGGCATCCTTATGGCTAATAATATTTAAATTTTCGTGTTTAAGCAGCGAACGTAAAGTTGGCGCTTGAGCGTCGAGGTGTTGCTTACCTTGACAGACGAGGACGCTGGAGTACCACGTCATGAAGGACGAGGGCGCTGGAGTACCACGTCATCAAGGACGAGGGCGCTGGAGTACCACGTCATGAAGGACGAGGGCGCTGGAGTACCACGTCATGAAGGACGAGGGCGCTGGAGTACCACGTCATCAAGGACGAGGGCGCTGGAGTACCACGTCATCAAGGACGAGGGCGCTGGAGTACCACGTCATGAAGGACGAGGACGCTGGAGAACCTCGTCCAGTGAGGTCAGGCTGGGTCAAGTGGTTGACCCATCACTGCCTGAGACACGCTCCCACACACACATTCAGCAAGACGACGTAAGATATTACCACAAGACGAGAAACACTGCACAAAGAGTTAGACGTACCGACACGTATCTAATTTGTCAACAGCAAGTTAACGCCTGTGTTCGTCTGTGTCTTGTAGAACACTAAACTATCCCGAGGCAAAAGCACTCAGTAGCGTACAGCAATAACCGCGTTTTCGGCCCTGATATATCCTTTATTCCTCACAGATATCACAATGCGCTTAAAGTATCTCACTAAGCAAAGTACCAATAGTTTTTAGTGACCGGCATCCATTAAAATAAAACTTAATCTCACACCAACTCGTCACAACACTCCAACAATTTGTCAATATTACAACATGTTGTCACTTCAGTTTTACGTAACTGAATATTTACAAAACTTTATTTTCCAGCCGAAGTGTTTAAAGTCATCATTAGGGCTTTAATATTTCCCGTTTCCATCACACTGGGCCCAGCTGGTCCGCCGCCTTCAGTACACAACTCCGAATTGAACTGACACGCGGAAGAAAAGGGCTCAGAAGGTCTTCCTTCGAGCTTGGAATGAATCCGTTGTAAAGCAGATGTCTCATCACAGCTTAGCCTGAAAAACAGCCCGTCCTCCAAACAAAGACCGAAAATCCATTCCATATTCCCGCCAAACCTCCTGTTTATAAATGAAAAACGGTTTACACACGACTCACAAGTGCTTTGGTAACGACTTCTGTTTGAACCACAACGCTGTAAATGCTTCATCCTCGTACTACAATTACAAATAATCGCCAACAGAACCTAAACCCCTAACCTAACCTATATATGCACAATATGCTAATATATTATAATATTAATTTATATTTCAGAAAATTCCCGTTTTGAAGGAACAACATGTACGAATTTATAAATGCGTCTGTAGGGTCGACCACTGGATGGAATGGACTTGAGTCGAGGACGGGTTGCCCATAGACCAAAAGCTCGTTAATCAAGCCCCCCCCCTTTCCTGTTCATGAGTGCAAAACGCTTTACATACATGATTATATAATCAATTTGTAATATATTTGAGAAACTCCCATTCGTAATACACAACTGATTAACCTTGCTAAATGTGGTGACGGCCACACCTGGGCCTTACTTAACGATGTGTATATATATATATATATATATATATATATATATATATATATATATATATATATATATATATATATATGTCGTACCTAGTAGCCAGAACTCACTTCTCAGCCTACTATGCAAGGCCTGATTTGCCTAATAAGCCAAGTTTTCATGAATTAATTGTTTTTAATTTTTTTCGACGACCTAACCTACCTAACCTATAAAGATAGGTTAGGTTAGGTTAGGTAGGGTTGGTTAGGTTCGGTCATATATCTACTTTAATTTTATCTCCAATAAAAAACAATTGACCTCATACATAATGAAATGGGTAGCTTTATCATTTCATAAGAAAAAAATTAGAGAAAATATATTAATTCAGGAAAACTTGGCTTATTAGGCAAATCGGGCCTTGCATAGTAGGCTGAGAAGTGAGTTCTGGCTACTAGGTACGACATATATATATATATATATATATATATATATATATATATATATATATATATATATATATATAATATATATATATATATATATATATATATATATATATATATATGTCGTACCTAGTAGCCAGAACGCACTTCTCAGCCTACTATGCAAGGCCCAATTTGCCTAATAAGCCACGTTTTCATGAATTAATTATTTTCCGACTACCTAACCTACCTAACCTAACCTAACCTAACTTTTTCGGCTACCTAACCTAACCTAACCTATAAAGATAGGTTAGGTTAGGTTAGGTAGGGTTGGTTAGGTTCGGTCATATATCTACGTTAATTTTAACTCCAATAAAAAAAAATGACCTCATACATAATGAAATGGGTAGCTTTATCATTTCATAAGAAAAAAATTAGAGAAAATATATTAATTCATGAAAACTTGGCTTATTAGGCAAATCGGGCCTTGCATAGTAGGCTGAGAAGTGCGTTCTGGCTACTAGGTACGACATATATATATATATATATATATATATATATATATATATATATATATATATATATATATATATATATATGTCGTACCTAGTAGCCAGAACTCACTTTTTGGCCTACTATGCAAGGCCCGATTTGCCTAATAAGCCAAGTTTTCCTAAATTAATATATTTTTTCATTTTTTTTTCTTATGAAATGATAAACCTACCCATTTCATTATGTATGAGGTCAATTTTTTTTTATTGGAGTTAAAATTAACGTAGATATATGACCGAACCTAACCAACCCTACCTAACCTAACCTAACCTATCTTTATAGGTTAGGTTTGGTTAGGTAGCCGAAAAAGTTAGGTTAGGTTAGGTTAGGTAGGTTAGGTAGTCGAAAAACAATTAATTCATGGATACTTGGCTTATTAGGCAAATCGGGCCTTGCATAGTAGGCTGAGAAGTGCGTTCTGGCTACTAGGTACGACATATATATATATATATATATATATATATATATATATATATATATATATATATATATATATATATATATATATATATATATATATATATATATATATATATATATATATATATATATATATATATATATATATATATGTCGTACCTAGTAGCCAGAACTCACTTCTCAGCCTACTATGCATGGCCCGATTTGCCTAATAAGCCAAGTTTTCCTGAATTAATATATTTTCTCTAAATTTTTTCTTATGAAATGATAAAGCTACCCATTTCATTATGTATGAGTTCAATTTTTTTTCATTGGAGTTAAAATTAACGTAGATATATGACCGAACCTAACCAACCCTACCTAACCTAACCTAACCTATCTCTATAAGTTAGGTTGGGTTATGTAGCCGAAAAAGTTAGGTTAGGTTAGGTTAGGTAGGTTCGGTAGCCGAAAAACAATTAATTCATGAAAACTTGGCTTATTAGGCAAATCGGGCCTTGCATAGTAGGCTGTGAAGTGAGTTCTGGCTACTAGGTACGACATATATATATATATATCCATATATCCATATATATCCATA